TGTGTGTGTGTGTGTGTGTGTGTGTGTGTGTGTGTGTGTGTGTGTGTGTGTGTTAAATGCCAGCCAGACATAATGGCACATGCCTGGAACCCCAGCTATTCAGAAGGCCGAGGCAGGAGAAGCCCCAGCTCACATCATGCTCTGTGCGATCTGGTAAGGCCTCCTCCCATCAAACTTTCAGATAAATTTAGGTCAGCGCACTTCCTAACATGCAAAGCTGTGGGTTCGATCCCTGGCACACTCTCCCCTGCTCTAAACGCCTGCACACTACTTCGCACCAACCCAGACAGGGGCTTTTGTCACGAGGCCCAGGCACTGGCTGGACTTTCTGTTTTTAAGCTGACCTCAGTCAAGGAGCGGGAACCAGTGATTTAAAGGAGCTCGGAGCGGCATTTTCACACTAGTAGAGGGGACCGTTCCAGAACTGGCATGGCAAGGGCGCCTACAGCCCTCGTTGTGAAAAACATCGTGTAAATGAGCGATTTGTGTGCAGAGGGGAGCCCCAGGGAGGAAGAGCATTTCCCAGAGGGCTCCTGCCCACCCCTCTGTGTGGGCCACACAGAAACTGTGCGTGCTCACAGGAGGCAGGGACAGATACAGTGAGACTATGTGATAGTGCCTCCTGAGCTCTTCCTTCTGGAAGGCAAATGCTCTCCACCCCGGTTGGCGGAGATCAGGTGCCCCGACAGACACTCAGCACAGCGCAGGCCATCAGAACGTCACATTTTTATCTGAGTAGGGATCCATCACTCCTTTCTCCACCAGCGCCATGCCAAGCACCTGGCACGTGTAGCGGCACTTATCTCTGCAACAGCAAGTCGAGCTGGATGTTGGGTGGGTTGTCTTTCTCATTTCACAGCGGAGGAAAATTATTACCAATCAATGCTAAGCAGCGGGCGTGCAGCCACGTCGGGCGGAACGGGTGACACCTGGCTTTCGCTTCGCTAAAGCTTTTTTTTTTTTTTCCCAAGCTAGAGTTTATGAACCGGGCTTGCCTTTGCCTGGGGAGAGGTGATCCAAAAGGTTGGGGGTAGGCCTAAGTGAACAGCCACTGGAGAAAGGATAGCTTTCCAGGCTGGCTAGTGTGGCCGGATGTTCTGGGGCAGGGCACGTTGAAGGTACTGCTGCTTTCTCCTCAGCCCAGCCTGAATCTTCCTTTGCTCTCTTAAGTAGCACAGAGATCACGTGTTTGTCCACCTCTGAGGCAATTGCCACAGAGGACACACTAGGACCAGAGAGACATCGAGCACTCTCACGTCTCTTGTTTCTGTCAGAAATCTGTGGAGGAAACCGTTGCCATGGTATTGATAGAGGACATGTTGAATGGGATGGGTGTGGCACTGTACCTGGAGAAAAAGCAAACAGAAAGGAAGGGAGAAGGATGGCCACAACCACCATCGAGCAATAGGCCCGCCTGGAGGCCATCTTAAACAGGAAGTAGTCCTCTCTCCTTTAGTGTTGAAAGGGCATCTGTGTCTGAGACAGGGTGGGCTCATGGTGTCATCACCCAACATGGTTACTTGCTTTTGACTGAGTAGAGTCTATAATTTTCTCTTACTCATATGGTTCAAGCAACTTTCTGTTCTTTCATGTGTTTTGTTTTTCAGATCTTAAATCCAAATTTCATCCAAGAAGGTAAGTTTTTAAAGGGGATAGAATTGAGAATGTAGGGACTGGCTAAACAAATTATGTTATATTTGGCTTGAAGGTAGCTTTAAGCAATGCTTAAAGCTTCTGCATTTATGGACAGGGAGAGATCATTAAGATGAACTAGTAAGTGAACTATTAACTACTATGTAACGGGTTCCACTTCGATTGAAGAGATAAATGATATGTTTGTATGAAACCCAAAGACTGCATAGCGAAATGTTCCCAAGTGCCATCTCCTCATTATGCCACCATGGAACTGTTCCCTCTTGTATTTCTGTTTCTAATTTTGCTGTGAAGAGGGGCACAGAGATGGCCGTGGTGGCACTTGCCTTTAATCCTAGCATAGAGGCAGAGGCAGGCAGATCTTCCTGGGGTCAAGGCCAGCCTGGTCTACAGAGTGAGTTTCCTGTTGACCAAACAGTGTTAGGCCGAAGGCCGCCTGAGTCACGACGTCTCTGGGGTTGAGAATCCTGCGTCTGAAATGGCTGTTGTGCGTTTGCTGTGAGTAACGTGGATGTGTCTCAACGCCATTGCAGTGGCTCCAGAATTCCTTGTGCCCTTGGTAGACGTCACCTGCTTGCTCGGGGACACGGTGTTGCTGCAGTGCAAAGTCTGCGGGCGGCCCAAGCCCACCGTCACCTGGAAGGGTCCAGATCAGAGCATCCTAGACACTGACAACAGTTCAGCCTCGTACACCATATCCTCCTGGTAAGCGGATCACCTAGGGGCTGGGCCCACAGCACCCAGGGGCTGGATTCAGGGTGAGACAGCATCTCTCATGGGTTACTAATCACCCCCAAAGGAGCTATCCTCGTGTTTATTCCCGGTCACGCACTTGGGCCTTGATGAAGAGACAGACTGAGTTAAAAGCAGGAGTGGTTTAGCCCTGCACACCGGAGCACCCTGTGTTCGAGTCTTAAGCACAGCCTCAGCTGCCCATTCTGTGGCTGGCCCTTCAGTCTGAGCCTCTGGACTGTGCTGACATGTCCAGAGAGACATACCCGAGGCTAAGAGGAACCATCTAGAAAGTGTCTGTGCTGGGCCTACAGACAACCAATAAAGCATTATCTTTGAAATCACAGGCTAAGCCTGAACTGTAGATATAAAAAGCTCCTATGGTCCTATGTCACAGCCACCCTCTGTCCAGGCATCCCCAGGGAGAGCTGTCAGGAGCACTAAATGCTAACTGGACACCCCAGGATGCTTAATGCCTGTCAGGGTGCTTTGAGATAGTGATATGACTCATCCCTTACCCAAGAACAATTTTGTGAGATGTGAGGGTGAGGGAGAGGCAGGCTGGAGAGGAGGCACATTCCAGAATGTGCAGCGAGACACCAAGCTACGAGGCGCTTCTACACAAAGGCCACTTGGTTGACGCCTCCCGACCATTTTGCTCATTTGTCATCCCCACCACCACCTGAATTCTGAGCATCTCTGTACATTGCCGCTTATAGCAGACAAGCAGTACCGAGCTATAATGGCTCATTGGTCACTTAAAGAAATGACTAGAATCGAGCACATTTCACTGATTGGCTTAAGGGGTGTATGTGAGTGTGTGTGTGTGGTGCTTCCAGAAGAGATGCCTCAGTCAGGCCATAAAACCTCACGGGCCTAAGCAGCTCAGACTGAGAGCAGTCTTTGGCAAAGGCCATGGAGGTCTCAGAATATGTCATACCCCAAGGATGGTGTCTTAGTGACCTTTCTATTTCTGTGAAGAGACACCATGACCAAAGAAACTGATAGAAGAAAGCATTTAATTTGAAGCTTGTGCTTCCAGAGGGTAGCAGAATCCATGACCACCATGGCAGGGAGCATGGTGGTGGGCAGGTGGGCATGGCTTGGGAGCAGTAGCTGAGAATTTACATCTCATCCACAAGCAGGAGGCACAGAAAGATGGAGACCGAGCCTGGCCTGAGCTTTTGCAGTCTCAAAGCAAGCCCCCAGCGGCACATTTTTTTTCCGACCAGGCCACACCTCCTAATCCTTTCCAAGCACTTCCACCAACTGGGGACCAAACATTCCTATGAGAGGGAGAGGGCTGGCCTCCCTGTAACTTAACCCTTTCAGAGCCGTTCCTTCTGTGAGGTGTTTCTGAACCCCATTCCAAGGCAAATGAAAAAGTTACCATTTAGATACACGAATTTACACTTCCTTAGAGTTCACTGCACACGCATTGTGTGTGGATGTGCGTGTGTGTGTGTGTGTGTGTGTGTGTGTACATATGGGAGGGTACAAGCATGTGGAAACAAGACGTCCATTTCAAGTGTCTACTTGCTCTCTGCCTATTTTTTCGAGACAGCATCTCTCATGAAGCCTGGCACCTACTGTTTCAGCTAGACTAGCTAGCCAGCAAAGCCTCTGGATCTGCCTGCTCCCCAACTCATTCAGCCCTGGGGCCACAGGCACGTGCCACATCCGACTAGTTACTAACTGGGATTCCCAAGCACTTCACCCGCCGAGCCATCTCCCCAGACGCCCACTGAATGATTCTAAGGGTCCCACATGTAAGATTTGAAACAGTCAAACACAAGATTCCTTGTGTTACGTAATTAACATGGCAAACCAGTAGATTATACGATTGTATTTATTCTGGCTCAGATCTCACTCCATCCCTATTCCATTCCTTATTTACCCAAATCTGGGCGGTGAGAATCGCCAGAAAAGAATATTTCCCCGCACAAGGTAGTGGGTGCAGGGTATTTGCCCAGGTGGTGGAAGGAGCTGAGCTGAAGTCACCACTCTCAGCTCTGCACACAGCCAACTAAGCCGCTAGCATTTTACTCATCCCGAAACTGGATGGGAGTCTGAAGGAGATCCGTTTCATGTCCTAGTGATTCTGGGGAAATCACCCTCAAGATCTGCAACCTGATGCCCCAGGACAGCGGGATTTATACCTGCGTGGCAACAAATGACCATGGGACGGCATCCACGTCGGCGACGGTTAAGGTGCAAGGTATGTTGCGGTCTCTCTCTCTCTCTCTCTCTCTCTCTCTCTCTCTCAACACAACAATAAGACTTAACATCTTAACTGCTTTTAAGTGTGGAGTTTAATGGCCTTGAAGACACACCCGTGAGCTTGTGGCCACCACCACCATCCATCCACATAACTCTTTTCTCTTTTTTTATTGTCTGTTTCTATTAAGCAATAACTCTAAACTCCTCCCTCCCCACTGCCCTGGCTGCCCCTCTCCTCCCTTTCCTATTGCAGCCTCAAAGGCTCCATCCACACTGGTCATTTTAATTGAACATGACCAGGACACCATGACACTCAGGGAAGAAAGCATCGAAAGCAGAACCCAGGCCAGTGGGAGGAGAACCGTCCCCACTAAGAGCACCTAGCCAAGCCTCCAGCATGGTTCCTGACCAGCTTTTCCCCGTGTGTGAGGCGTTTAATTGAGAGGGGCAGTCAGGCATCAAGTCCCATCTCCTAGGCCTCCCTGGGGCCTGGAGAAAGCTGTGCTGCTTGGACAGGGCCAGATTAGAGACAAGTCCAGTATGTTTCCTGAGAGGCACGCTATTCTGGTATGCAACTCAGGGTTCTGAGAAGCCTCCCCGAGCCCCTCATCTGTCTCGGCAGGTGTTCCTGCCGCTCCCAATCGCCCCATCGCACAGGAGAGGAGCTGCACCTCCGTCATCCTCCGCTGGCTGCCCCCAGCCAGCACTGGGAACTGCACTATCTCGGGATACACGGTGGAGTACCGAGAGGAAGGTGTGTTGCTCTGCTCTTCCATATTTGCCCCCTCTCGGGAAGTCTTCCGGGTCTCGAACCTGAGACCTCATCTATCCTCCGGTCCACTGGAATCAGCCTGACTACTGCGCCCTGGGAGTTGAGCACAGAAGCCTGGGACCAGGCTGCAGCTGCCCGTGGATGACAAATGGAAACTTCCTTGGTGTCATCCGGGCCCAGCCACTGGGTGGCAATGTGTCTCCATTGCACTATCCTGCTTACCCCGCTCAACGGCACGGTTAGGGGCCGTTGAGCCCATTTTACAGATGAGAAAGCTAAAGCCTGAAGAGTAAAGAAACAACGCTGTGCTTACTAAGGAGCAAGCTTCCACTAGATCATGCTCTTTAGTTGGTTTCTGTGGTTTTTCTGTCCATGGTTTTCAGGGACAGAAACCATGACAGGATGATCGGAGCTCCACCCCTCTCCCTCCAGATAAAAGCTACAGCATGTGTACACACATATATCTTTAACTGTGTGGTAAGAAAGAAAGAAAGTTTAAGTCAGTTGTGGTGGCTCACACCTTTAATCCTAGCACATGACAGGCATTGGCAGGAGGATCTCCATGAGGTCAAAGCCAGCCTGGTCTACATGGGTCAGCTAGGGATAGTGTAATAGTGATAGTAATAATAATAATAATAATAATAATAATAATAATAATAATAATAATAATAATTAATAATAATAATGTTTTAAAAGATGCTTCCAGGTAATTATACTTGTTGTGACATAGCTCTGAACCACATCACGAATTTCCCAATGGAACTGGAAGCACCTGCTTGCCCACACCCGCCATGACCATTTGTTTCCCTTTGCTTTCCATTACTATTGTTATCTTAATTCTTCTTTCTTTTTCTCTTTACCAGGCAGGAGCTTTGCACCTATAAAACGATTTCTTCCTCCTTTTTTCTAACTCGGTCTGCGGCCTGGGTGCTCAGGGCCAGCACGGCTGTGACTGCTGAGCCAGGGAACCCGTTTCACTGTTTCCTTCTCTTCGTCTTGCACATTTGAGAAGGGACAGAGCCTACAGGCCAACTTCTTGAACAGCCATCACTTAATCTGTTGTTTAGGAAACTGGGCTGAAATCCCCCACAGTTGTCCCACAAACTTTCAGAGCCCAACAGCGACCACACTGTCCTCTGAACTGATCCTGTCCATTCTCCTATCTTTATTTGCTGAAGGCCTTTGAAACAATGTCTTCTTGACCCTGTCTCTCTCCATTTCCTTGGAACTGCACACTAGGTTCCCAGGTCTGGCAGCAGTCCATAGCTTCGACCTTGGACACTTACCTTGTCATTGAAGACCTGAGTCCTGGGTGCCCTTATCAGTTCAGGGTCAGCGCCAGCAACCCCTGGGGAATCAGCCTTCCCAGTGAGCCCTCGGAGTTTGTCCGTCTTCCAGAGTATGGTGAGTGCCAGCAGACCCAGGACAGCCAGGCAGCAGAAGCAAGGCAATGGGCCACTGTTACAAAATCACTGGTGCTTTTTAACCCTATGGGGAGGTGACTTGGGGCCGCATGGCAGCTTCCACCAGGCCATCTTTGAGAGGTCGACCAGATAGAACTCTCCAGGAGGTCTCTTGGAGCCAACATTAGGTCTACCACCCTTGCTGACCCTGGGCCTTTTGGGGTTCCTCAGGGGAACCAAGAGGGACAGGCAGGAGACCTTCTGGCTCTGGCTCTCCTCTGGGACCTCTTGTGGAGTTCAAAGCCTGTTTTCCCCTGGGTGCCTCTGGCAGACATCTGTTTCCCACCGTATCAGGGACTGCTGTGCTCAATGACTTAAAACGCAGAGGGAAAAGCAGCCCTCACGAAGGACTTCCCTACCAGATGAAACGTTGATATTTGCCCCTTCCTTCCAGAATTTATTTTTCAATAGGATCTACATAAACTAGAAATTGGCTGAGACATGCGTGTAACTACCTAGAGAAGAATATTTTACCAGTGCAGCTCTTATTTTACTTATCTTGCTTGCCAACCCACCTTATCTGTCCTTGTCGGTCCCATAGACATTTTAGAAGAGGAAACTTGGTGATTTGAAGAAATAGCCCATTGGTGACCCTTTGGACAGTGCACAGAAGTGGCATGTGTGTGCTGAGGACGGGACAAGAAAGGATGGGAGTTTCACTATACTTAAAAGTCAGCCAATTTGTGTCTCTGTAGGATAAAGGAAGTCTGGAGTTCCCAGAGTGCCTTGGGCTATGCCCTGGCCCCAGTCCCAGGTCATGGTCAGCCCAGTCAGTTGCCTGCCAGTGACCTTGACTTGTTCTCACAGGCCTGTGACTCTGGAAAACCTTGGCCCTGGGTCCAAACAACTTCAGCATTCACTGTGGGCACATCACCAGCTCATTCTTAGGGAGAGCAGAGGTCACTGGTCACTGGGGTCAGAAGAACTGAGCTTCCGGTGTGGTTCCTTTCTTTCCAAGCCACTAACTCAGTGTGGCTCGGGAGGGCCACCATTTTCCTTTGGTTGCTTCTAAGACCCGATCCTCAGCAGACAGCACAAATAAATATGAGTGTGTATGCTTGTGTGTGTGAAGAGAACTCACACATCATACAAGGCCAAGCTGGGTCACCGAATCACCCAGGAAAGCCAGTTGTAGGTGAAGTTCAATTAGTCTATATAGAGCAGTTGATTGTCAACCTGCGAATCTTGACCCCAAATGGGTCACATATCAGATATTCTGCATGTCAGACATTCACATTATGATTCATAACACTAGCAAAATTACAGTTAGGAAGCCGCCATGAAGGTAATTTAATGGTTGGGGTCACCACATGAGGGGGTCACAGCATTAGGAAGGTTGAACACAGCTGACATATGAGAAAAGCTCACACAAAGCTGAGGACAGCAATGCCGGGCAGAGACGTCTCTAGAATGTTTTGCTCACGCTGCTTCCTTTTCCCCTCCATGACCGTCAGCTTGGTCATTCTCTCTGCATCCTCCCACGGCCCTCATTTTCACGGACTTTTCTAGGCCTTCAAGCGGTCTTCTTTCCCCTTGTCTATGTTTTCTCTAGTATTTTTGTGAAGCTACATTTCTGATCATGCCCCATGTCCTCCCTTTGTTTGAGGAGATGACAGACTGTCTGACTCTGCCATAACAGACATTTTAAAAATAACATTCTGGAGAATCACAGCCTTTCCCCACTGGGTGGCCTCTATATTTAGTCATAAGCATTTCCCTGGGGCTATTATGCTGGTGTATCTTCCTGATGTCACGTGTGGACTCTCCCTCTCCCAAAGATGCAGCCGCTGACGGTGCCACCATCTCTTGGAAGGAAAATTTTGATTCCGCTTACACTGAACTGAACGAGATTGGCAGGTAAGGGTACCAGCCATCGACAGGAGAATGACTGGTTTGGTTTTGTTGGTGTTGCTTCCTGTCCTGTAAATGCATTCTCCCTGTAGTTGGAAAACAGCTAGTGCATTCCAGGGAATTTTCTACCATACTTTTTCTTTACTGGAGTCGGAAGCTTGCCTTGTCAACTCTTAGCCTTTCAACTTCTAATACAAGATTTTTAAGCCTCAAAACTTTCCTATGAGTGGAATTTTAGTTGCATGTCTCAAGTTTTGATATCTGGTATTTTCATTATTGTTGTTTCCGTGTATCTTTTCAACTATGGTTTATTTTTTGAACCACTTATAATGGGTTATAAATTATATATTTATAAATTATATAATAATTTATAATTATATAATAATTTATAAATATATAAATTTATATGTATATAAATTATATATACATGAGAATTTAAGTTTTAGTTTGTTATTCGCTTCTAATTTCATTGTCGTGTGATCTAAGAACTTGCTCTGTGGCAAAATTTTATAAAAAGGTTTATGTATTCAGGATCAGTGGTGAAGAACACTGGCTGCTCTTCCAGGGGACCCGGATTCAGTTCGGAGCACCTACAGGGCAGCTCATAACCATCTATAGCTCTAGCTCTAAGGGTTCTAATACTGTCCCCTGGCCTCTGGGAGCATTGCACACATGTGGAGCACAGACATTCATGAAGGCAAACTAGCCGTACCAGAAAATAACGACAAAGGGGAAATGTTAAAAGTTTCCTGTGTTCATTTCCCTTCCTTTTAAAAAGTTAATCTATTTAAAAAGTTAATCTTTTGCCTGAGTGTATGTCTGTGTACCACATGAATGCCTGGTCCCTGTAGAAGCCAGAAGAGGGTGTTTTAGGTCTAGATGATGGGTGCTGGGAACTGCACCTTGGTCCTCTGCAAGCACAAGTGTTCTTAATTACTGAGCCATCTCTCCAGCTCCATCACAGTGTATAGAAGCATATTCTGCTTAGGAAAAAAAAAATTAAACCCATACTTGATGCTCAAAATGGCAGAAAAATATCTTGGCTGAACAATGATATTCACTTACCTTCGGTGTCTCAAAGAGCCTAGGATGCTAAGAAAAGAGAGATGATTTTTTAAAAAAATAATGTTATACTTAAAAGCTCAGAAGGAAGGGTTCCTTTTCATTTTGCTGTGTATTAGTATGTATGTGCATGTACTTTCTAGGGTGTGTGCACGCATGCCATAGCCCGTGTGTGGAGCTCAGGGGACAAATTTGTGGAGTCTGTGCTCTCGTGCTTTTATGTGACTTCCAGGCATCAAGCTTAGGCTGTTAACGTTATACCTTCAGATAGCAGGTGCCTTTATCCACGGAGCCAAATCGCCAGTCCCAGAAGGAAAGATTTCTTCTTCTTTCATTTTTTTTTAAGTGTATTTGGTTTTTTTTTTAATTTTATTTTATGAACACGGTTCAGTACCTGCATGTAAAGCATATGCACCACATATGTGCCTGGTGACTGAAGAGTCCAGAAGACAGCATCAGGTCCCTTGGCACTGGAGCTATAGAAGGCTGTGAGCTACCCTGTGGGTGCTGGAAGCCTAACCCCGTCTTCTGGAAGAGCAGCCAGTACTCTTAACCTCTGAGCCAGCTCTCCGGTCCTGGAGAGGTCTCTAATAGTGCTTGATTAAAATGCTTCTTCAAAATGCTTGGGGTCGGAAGTGGGTTTGCACTGAGGATTTTGGGAACGTGTGATTGTACACAAAGTGATGTCATGAGGATCGGACCAAAAACATTCATCTCCTATTTCCGGCCCACCTTTGCCTGAAGCTGATTTTATGTGACACGTCTAGAGTACCTGCATTTTAACTGTCACTCGTCATGGGAAGTCAGGTGTGGAATTTTCCACAGTGATTTCATGTCTGCACACAGAAGGTATCAGGCTTTAGAGCATTTTGGATTTTGGATTTTTGGATTAGGGACCCTCAACCTGCATGATGTTGCTGTCTCAGTGATGCCCCTCTGCATGTACACACACACACACACACACACACACACGCGTGCGCGCGCGTGTGAACCTAATCTGATGAATGACACCCTGCTGACTGAAGAGCCTTGGAAAACCTTTCCCCTTTCTGTCTCACAGAGGCCGTTTCTCTATTGTGAAGAAATGCATTCACAAAGCTACCCGCAAAGATGTTGCTGTGAAATTTGTGAGCAAAAAAATGAAGAAGAAGGAGCAGGCCGCCCACGAGGCCGCCCTGCTTCAGCACCTGCAGCATCCCCAGTATGTCACCCTCCATGACACCTACGAGTCCCCCACATCCTACATCCTGATTTTGGAACTGTGAGTACAACAGTCACGGTTCTAGGGTAGACCTCACCTGCTTGGGTTACCCGTTGGCACAATTAATGGGCAAGAGTCGGTTTTGCTCCGTGTTTTATGGTTTACAAAGTGTTACATGAGCCTTAGACTCTTTCACCTCCAGCTTTGTGTTAATGTTGCTCTCATTCTACAGACTAGAAAAGTCAAGACTAGAGAAGGTCTTTAATGCTAGCTCAATAAAAGTATGGATAAAGAAATGGACCTTGAAACCACCTCCTCTCCCTCTACTTTTCCTTGTCTTTTTAAGCTTTATTTCATTTTTTTTTATATTTATGGGGTACAGTGTTTCATTGTGTGTATACATCATTGTGTGATCATCAAATTGGGCTATTAGTATATCCCTCACCTTAAAAGCTGTCATTTCTTCGTGACAAAAACGTTTTGAAAAAAAAAAAAAATCCAGGCCGGAGAGATGGCTCAGTGGTTAAGAGCACTGTCTGCTCTTCCAAAAGTCATGAGTTCAACTCCCAGCAACCACATGGTGGCTCACAACCATCTATAATGTGAACTGATTCCCTCTTCTGGCAGGTGTATACATAAAATAAATAAATCTTTTTTTTTTTTTTTAAAAAAAAAGACAAGTAATTGTTAAAAAAAAAGAAAAAAAAATCCCCTTCTCAAGGTATTTGCAATATATTAACATTTCATGTTGTTAACTATAGCCATCATACTATAGACTAGAACACCAGAAGTTATTTTTCTTCCTAGCTGTAATCTGTACTCATTTCCCACTCTTGTTTTCATTTTCTTCCTATCATGTACATTCAAGCTTGGCTGATGCTTAAGAAGAAGACTTTACTGGTGGTAGGCTGATTGACAGAATGGAGTTGGCATTAGAGGAGTCTGTCTGTCAATCTCTCGCAGCCCCAGTCTACTGCCCTATTCTTTCAGGGTAGAATTTCTCCATCCAAGACATTCCAGGAATGGGAGATTAGCTAGATATCAAATGTAGAAAGATACATCTCTTATCCTTAGGGGCCATAAGTCCAAGAGATAAATAATGCTTGGAAAATAATAAAAATATTATTATTATATATAATAAATAATTGCTTATAATTATGTATGGGAAATGCTAAAGACCATACATTACACAGGGTTGTGAGGACACAGAACTGTGCTTTGTTGGCTATGATTTTCAGGGAAGATGTGTGGGAAGCAAGGCCTCTGTAGAACCCAGCCTTGCTCTGCTTGTAGGTCTCCTGTAGTGGTCAATAGAGATTGCTGGTGGAACCCTCCTCCTCCAAGAGATTGAGATTTTGATTAGACCCTTTCCAGGCTTTGAGCAGCATTGCTTCTAAATGTCCCCTGTATTTGCTCCAAGTAGCTGTGGGAGTTGCATGTAATGAACACATGGCCACACTTCTCTGCTCTTTCTCCTCTTACCTCATACCTAGTAGATCATAGGGAGGTAGGGAAGGCTTCCAGGAACTCCATCCTTTGTTCTGTCAAGGAAGTAGAAGAGTCCCATAGCAAGGAACCAGTTAGAGGAGAAAATGAAGACAGCCATACAGGTTTCAGCTACGGTTGAAGGTTATTCCTGTACTGGATCACACTGCTGGGCATGGGCATTCCCTGAGATGTATGATGACCCACAGATGACCACAGTTAAGGTTTGATCACTTCTTGTAATAAAAGGGCACAGGAAGCCCAGAAAGAACTGCTTTTTAGTCAGCACCGCCTTAGTTCTCTGCTGAGATACCATGGCCATGGCAACATATAGAAGAAAGATTTTATTAGAGGCTTACAGTTTCAGAGGGTTAGAGTCCATGACCATCATGGTGGGGAGCATGGCAGCAGGCAGGCAGGCATGGCACTAGAGAGGCAGTTGAGAGCTTACATCTTGACCCATAAGCACAAGGCAGAAAACTAAGTGGGAGTGGTATGGGCTTTTGAAAACTTCAAAGCCTACCTGCAGTGGTACATCTTCTCCAACAAGGCCACTCCTCCTTATCCTTCCTAAACAGTTCCACCAACTAGGGACAACAGACGAGCCTAAGGGGGCCTTTCTCAGTCATACTACCATAAGCATACTACCGTATGCTATAGGCTGTGTCTTAATGCCTCATTGCTTTTCCTGGCTCTTGCACAGGTCTTATTTTGTCATTGATGATGTTGTTGTCAGTGTCCAGTTGGTATTCTCACTTTAAAAGATGGTGTGCTTCGGGGAAGCCAAAACACAGCGAGTTTAAATGGTTACCTGCAGCCACCAACTGGTGAGTTGGCAGAACTGGAACCTAAATCTGCGTATGACTGGCTCCACTTATTCCATTCTCAATCAGTCTTTAGAGGTTGGCAAGCTGTCAGAAAGGCAAAGGAGTTAAGAAGAGATCAAATATGCCAAGGACAACCCTTTCCTACTTAATATTTCTCCCATCTAAAAATGTTCAAAGTGAAACTACCTTTAACATAGACGGCCCCCACCCCCCGCCAAACCTAACCTCTAACCTAACCAGGTTAGATCTTAAAGTCAACAAAACAAGTGTCTCTCAAGCAAGGCTATAGGATTTCTCATGGAGCTTAACCCATTTGCAACTTGACCCATTTTAGTTCTGAACGTGGCACTTAATTTGGGCTCTATAATTTATGTGTTGCAGCACTAATCTTCATTAATAAGAGACATCTTAGGGCTTTTTTTTTGGCTTTATACACATGTGCTTTCTCTCTTTCTTCCCAAGCATTCCTTTTTCCCCCTCTTTGCTTTCAGGATGGATGACGGCCGACTCTTGGACTACCTTATGAATCACGATGAGCTGATGGAAGAAAAAGTAGCTTTCTATATCCGAGACATCACGGAAGCCCTTCAGTACCTTCACAACTGCAGGGTTGCACATCTGGACATAAAGGTAATAAAAATCAGTGCCTGTAAAATAGAGCAGTCTAACCTATCACCCACTTCCTTGAGGAATGCCATTTGGTTTTTTATTATTATTGTTGTTGTTTTCTAATCAAGACAGGGTTTCTCTGTGTACCCCTGGCTGCCCTGGAACTCAGAGATCACCTGTCTCTGCCTTCCGAGTGCTGGGATTAAAGGCCTGTGCCACCACTGCCTGGGAGAATTTTGAATTTCTTTTGTTTAACTTACTGTGACATCGTATGACTGTTAAATTAAAACCAGGCTTTCACCCTGTTTAAGCGCATTATTCGTGAATATAGGAGAACACACCAGAGACATGGAGGCACATGGGGTAAGCTTTAACCAAGTCGTCTACTTTTATAGACATCACTTAATGTCCTATTCTCCTTCATTCTGATAAACAAACAAACAAGCAAACAAATAACTAAATAAATAGATTTTTTTTTTAAAGGAGCTTCTCAAGGCTGGAGAAATGACTCAGTACCTAAGGCCCACCTTCTTTTCCCAGCACCCAAACTGGTTGGCTTACCACCACCTGTAACTCCAGCTATAGTAGATGCAATGTTTTCTTATGGCCTTCAATGGCACCTGCACACACAGGGCACACACTCACATAGATATAAACACATAAATAAAAATAAATAGTTTTTTTCAAGACAGGGTTCTTCTGTGTAACCCTGGCTGTCTGTCTTGGAACTTACTCTGCAGACGGGGCCGGCCTCGAACTCCAGAGATCCGCCTGGCTCTGCCTCCCAAGTTCTGAGATTCAAGATGTGAGTCACCAGCATCCAGCCTGTGTGTATAATAGATAATGTATATAATACGTATGTGTATATTTTTAATGAGAAGCTTATGTTTTCTTAAAAAGCTATTTGTTTTCTTGATTCATTACACAAGCAAAGGGCAGGTAAGAAGGTGTGCTATTCTGGATAGGTTATGACTCAGGAGCAGAACGTCCATTTAGCATGTATAAGGCCTTGCTTGTATCCCTAACACCAGGGTGGAAAGTACAGCAGTCATAGCATTAAGCCCAGCAGTCAGGAGGCAAAGACACAAGTATCTCTGTAAGTTCCAGGCCAGCCTGCTGTACATATTGAGTTCCAGGCCAGCCAGGAGTATATGGTTAGCTCAGTACCCTTCTCCCAAATGCACAATTTTCAATGCCAGACTACTTATCTAAAGTACCACCTGAACTCAGAGTTCCAGGAGTTCAATGCCATATTTTGAAACCTCCTTTGCCTTTGCATAGAGAATACCCCACATGACAAGCTGTATCAAAGAATAACAGAACCATGTTTAGCTAACAGATTCCATCTATGGGTCAACAAAGACCTGATCTCACCTCTCTTGTCCCTGCCTTCCTGGGTTCCTGCAGCCCGAAAACCTGCTCATTGACCTGCGGATCCCAGTGCCTCGGGTGAAGCTCATCGACCTGGAAGACGCTGTCCAGATCTCGGGCCACTTCCACATCCACCACCTGCTGGGCAACCCTGAGTTTGCTGCCCCGGAAGTGATCCAAGGCATCCCTGTCTCCCTGGGCACAGACATCTGGAGCATCGGGGTTCTGACGTATGTCATGCTGAGTGGGGTGTCCCCCTTCTTAGACGAGAGCAAAGAGGAAACCTGTATCAACGTGTGCAGGGTGGACTTCAGTTTCCCCCACGAGTACTTCTGCGGTGTGAGCAACGCTGCCAGGGACTTCATCAACGTCATTTTACAGGAGGACTTCCGGAGGCGGCCCACAGCGGCCACGTGCCTGCAGCATCCGTGGCTGCAGCCTCACAATGGCAGCTACTCCAAGATCCCCTTGGACACCTCCCGCCTGGCCTGCTTCATAGAGCGCCGCAAGCACCAAAATGACGTGCGGCCCGTTCCCAACGTCAAGAGCTACATCGTCAACAGGGTGAACCAAGGGACCTAGCCGTCTCCCACCCCAGGTTTCACATAGAAGGGCAGTGTGAACCAAAGCGAGACTGAACGTGTCTGTAAATAACTCTCTTCATCATTTCACTCCATGTGGTTCTCTGGACTGAGGGATGGTCCTCTTAAAACTTGTCTGTGGTCACTGGGGGGGTGTGAGCAGGGTCAAAGCCACCTTAATCCCAGGAGCACTCCAGAAGGTCATGCTGAAGAAGTTAAGAGGCAGAAGTTGCAGGAAGCATGAAAAGAAAAGGCAAGGCTGATGAGATGGTAGTTGGCATAAAAATGTTAATTGTACATTCCAAAATGGGCGGTTAAGTGGGCAAACCGTTCACCCACTGTGAGGAGGGTGGTAGGTCTCTGACTCCCTTGAAAAGTTAAGCAAAAAGTTCTATTTAACAGAGATTTCAACTATTCTGCTTTAGATGGCTTAGATATAGTTTCTTAACAGGATACATATACACATACAGTATACTAGATCCCATTCAGGTTTCAGAGTTTTATAATATAGAGTTCTATATGAAATCAATCATAAGTAACTTTGAGTGCTCCCGTTATGACAGTAATTTATTTACCGAAGCATTGCATTATTTTGACTAAGCACAACTAGATGACGAGTTTTTTAGAGCATTTTATAAATCTTGTATAGAAATCTTTTATCAGAACCTGTGTATGAAGAGAAAGCAATGTGACCCCTTTTGCGATCTGTGAATGAGATATTTTTTTTCTCCATCATGGGTTACTCGACTAAGATAGGTTCTGTATATCAAAAGCTTCCACCCTGAACTCACTGGCAGCTCAGAGTTCCTCCCGTGAGAAAGCCTGCCAGGAAATAAATCCAAATCTAATAAGAGTCGGGGGTTTGTTTTTATGTCCCTCTGGGCCTGGCATAGGTAAATGAATATCACAAACTTCATCCGAAAGGGCCCATAGAAACTTTTCCCACAGTTCCTGTGAACAATGTAGCAGCTCTTTCTGATTTCATAGCTGTAGAATACCGTTTTCAGAAAATCAGCTTGCTTATACCTAACCCCCTCATAAAGCTTTGGGGTGCTTACCAAAAGGAGGCAGCCATATTAGCCTTTTAAAGGCTAGTTCTAAGTCCTTTCTGAAGCCATGGAGCAAAGCCTGACCCATCACTCTAATACAGCACGGGTTTTTAACTGTGATAGCAATACCTATCACCACACAGCCACCGATGTCTCTGGACTAAAGGGACTAATTATATGCTGAGGTCAATGCTGCTTTCTCCATACAAGATTATTATGCCCGGTGCACTCTGGAGGAAAAACAAATTAACCAGGGCATTTCATGGTTTTTTGGTTTGTGTTTTTTTTTTTTTTTTTCCGTTTGTTTGTCCTGTTTTTTTTTTTTTTTTTTTTTTTAGAGTGGGTAGCGGGGTTTTTGTTATTTTGTGTTTGTACATGATACACCCTTTTGTTTTCTAGAGTGTGTTTTAAAAATTGCTTGGATGCAAATAATATTCTTAAAAAAATAGAACTGAGGTGTTTATGTAAATCAAGTTCCATGTCATCCTGTCTCTCCTGCTAGTCGGACTGAGAACACTGAACTCATGTAGCACAAAGTGCAATCAGAGAATCTGGGAAGGGAAAATGGAACTGCAAAAGTACTTAAACTATTTAAAGAAGAAATGATGGGAACAGCCTGAACTTTAATGCATAAAAACACTTATTCCCATGGTGGAAATATAGAATTTAAGTACTCGTCATCACCCCCTCATTGGTTTCAAAGTCAGATTACCCATCATCCATCCTCCATCTGGTCTCATCCAAGATTAGAGAGAAGTAAATTCGTAGAAAGTAAAAGCAATAAGACTAGATAACGCCTAGTATTTTGGGAATGAACCAAATATGTGGAAACTGACTCTGACTGTACAGCTTCCTTGTTTCTGGGAGTCCTTGGGTCGTCAGGCCTCACTCCCTCAGAGCTTCCTTACCGCCACATTTTTCCTTTAAACCGTGATGCACACACAGATACACAACCACTGATATGATCGTTAGAACGTACTTACTAAAGCTCTTCTAGCAAACAAGTCTCTATTATGAAATGCAGTATTAAGGCCTGGGCCAGAGGGCTTGTTGTAGGATAAAATGCAGGCTCTGAGGACTCCAGAGATCCAGAACGTGATGTGGCCAGCTCAGTTCTGCCCACTTGTCCACTATGGCTGCCTTGAAAGAAGGGCTTCCTGCTGAGTCGCTTACAATTGTTTTGACCCATCTGAGTTTCTGCTAGGGAGGAACAGCCTATGACTATGATGTGCAGAGGCTACAGAAGGGCCATCTTGGGAGATGACGGAACGCTACACAGAGCCAAAGTTTTCACAGCCACGTTTGTGTCAGAGTTGGGATGGTCCAGACATGGAGCTGCACGGAATTGCCCCAAGGACACAGGGAAGACAGGAAAGAACAGACAGAAGAGACGTCCTAAGAGAAAGGGAGCATACTTTGTGTAGTTTGTGATGACTGAAATGAAAAGTTGGGGTTGGGGGGGAGTCCTATCTGCAAAGTGCCTGGTCCCTCCAACAGGGGAGACTACGGTCTTGGCTCAAGAATTCTCCCTAGCAAGCTGGGAATTGGGAGGAATCCCATTGACAGGGATAGAAAATATCGTTTGTGCTCAACTATGGCTGCTCTCCTACACCTGCTTAGGCAGGGAGGTTTAGTCCTAGGAGAGGAGAGAGGAGAGGGGAGAAAATCTCCCACTCCTAATACCATCCCAATTGTTCTTACTGAGAGCGAACAGCCAGCTGACCTCAGGAGAACAACAGTCCTGGTGAAAGTCGTAGATTTCCTGTTTGGCTTGTATCCATCATTTTGAGCTCTTTTGTTTTATGTTTAAAAAAAAAAAAAAGTAGGGTACAGAAAGATGGAAAAGATCAGGACCACTCCAGGATCCCTGAGGAGAAATCTAGTAATTTTTGCACCTTTTACATTCGTTTTGAATTAAACAGATTTCTATCCACTAAAAACTGAATGTGGTTAAAAACTGTTAAGAAAACAAAACAAAACATCATGCTGTTGGATGTGTCCTTCAGGTCTCTACCAGCCATAAGCAACCTAAGTGGGGGTGAAGGGGACAGAGGGCAAGCTTGCTTCACAGCTTTGTGCTTCACAAAGCCTTTATAAACAGTAGTGCCTTTGAGAGGGGAGGTGGAGAGTGAAGAAGTTAGTTAACTGAATTTAGATTTGCTGATACTGCAGTATTTTTTTTCCCCTTAGGTTTAAGATGTCTTTTTAATGAAAACATCTGAATGTAGGAGGGGACCAGGAATTTCTGAGTATCTATCTCAGCTAATTCTAAATTCATTCTTTCTTCCAGAAAGTCTTTCTTGTTTTCTGGCCCAATGTCCCCATGGATAAAATGGAATTTGGGGAGGAGAGAGAACGTTAATCTCTTAAGAATGTAGGGGAAGAATGTCCTTGTTGACACATCTATAAGATATTTTGATTTTCTTAAAGTGCTACACACTGCCAGTACTAGGAATTTTATTGATGGTAACTTTGAACATTCCACTTTCCCACGGTCTTATCTTTGGATACCATTCACAAGCTCATGAGGTTAACCCCTGTAAATTGCTTTTCCTTGGAAACTATGGATACTCCCCGTCTACATGGAATTTGTTCTTACCTTATAGTTTTCACCCTTTAAGAGCTTGTCTACAGAAAAGGGTTAGGAGAGCGGATGAGGCCTTCAATGTCCATAAACCGTTTTCTCCAGTATTTCTTCTGGTGGACATAAGAGTCTGATGCCTTCCAAGACAGCCAGCCATTCCCTTCTCCCCCCACCCCCCAAGCTTTATGCTCTGGAGGGGGTGGGGGACATACAAAAAAGAACTCAAATAGCTACTTTCCTCACTGGGAGGGCAGATGTGAGAATCAAAACACTCCCTTGTCACAACTCATTTCTTTGGAGTCTCACAAGAAAAGGCTGGAAAAGGCAAGTAATATGCACAGGAGGAAGAAATAATTGGATTTTGGAGAAAAAAAAGCTTTGGCCCTCGAGAGCTGTCCCCAAAACTTCATGCCTGTGAGCCATTTACTCCTTCCTTTTTTTTTCTGTCCTATCTGGAAGAACATGGAAATTTAGATTTGCGAGAATATGAGGGAGAAAATACAATATAAAAATAATCATGTGAGTTTTGAGGAATGTAGACCATATTCTTTTCTTGCCTGGATAACATTCCAATGGAGTCTGGCTAAGGCCAACATATATAAGCTTTCAACAACTTTATTTGCAAAAAATGCTTCATAATTTTTCATTGCTATTTGAAATCTAAAGACCTGTAGGGAAGGAATTATTAGACCCAGATAAGGCTAAAAGAAAAGCTCACATAGATTCCACTGACAGAAAAGACAATACTATGATAATAATTGTTTTCTGAAAACCTTAAGGCTCTCATTGTCTCATTCATTTTAAAGAGCTCAAAAGGGCTGACATTTGTCCATCGTCTTAGATGTTTTTAATAGGAAATGTTGTTCATGAAAAATCTACATGGAAATTGAATGCAGAAATATCATATGGTCATACTTTTTATGAAAGACATTTTTCTCTTATTTTTAATATAAGTTGAAGCTATAGGAGAAGAATATGGTCATTTTACTACAGTGCTTTAATATTAAATGACACTAAGTAAAAACCTAAAATTAACACTTCCAGGCTATTGTCTTTTTCTATTAGCCTGTTTGCTAAGAAATTCCAAACTGTGGCCAGATTTAGTTTTTATCCAAATGACCAACCTAACAGTTCAGTCAGGTAACCTACTTTTAGCGAAGGGGGAAGAGCGAGAAAACATGCAAATAGCAAGTCTTGGAATTCCTAAGAGTTAATTTAACCAAGCAAATCTGCCAGCGCAGGCATAGGAATTGCATTAATTCCCCACTTCCATCAAGAACTAAGTCTGCATTCCAGAGTCCATGGAGACTGTTACTGTGACCTCAATGACTGTGGCTACGAATCTGAAGTTAACAATGCTTTTGTCTTCTCTTGCTGATGTAAGCCATATCTATCACCTGTGTGTTGGATTTTTTTTTTTTTTTAAACCCTGGTGCTTTTACTTCTGTTTCTGCTGAACTTCAGACTACTCTGTGGGGAAGTAAATAAAGCTAGAAGAGGGACAAAGAGAAAGACTGTGAAAAACTACACATACCCTTGAGAAAAATGCTATTTATGCAGAGAACAGCAGCAATGGAGGGCAAACTGTTGGAAAATATGGATATATGTACATCTGTACATGTATATAGTGTAAAATATGTATGTATATGTTATTGCTCATATGCAGAAATCTATCCATTTGCAGGCAGGCCAGGTGGGTCAGGTTTTCTACTGGAAAACCATTTAGGACCATTCAAAACCTTTAGGAACACTACATGCAGAATTCTAGTCACATGGGAATTTATTTGCTGTCTTTTGAAGTCCACCTGGCCAAATGAACAAAGTATGAAACATATTGGTACCATAATTTATTTGATTCTGTTTACTCAAAAGTCTATATTTGAATACTTTTGTATGTGTGTGTTTTGGCTTTTGTTGTTTGTTTTTGTTGTTTGTTTGTTGTTTTGAGACAGGTCCTGGCTGTCCTAGAACTCATCCTGTAGAGCAGGCTGGCCTTGAACTCACAGAGATCTGCCTGTCTCTGCCTCCTGAGTGCTGGGATTAAAGGCATGTGACATCATGCCCGGCCTATATTTGAATTTTAATATCTGATTTGCAAACTGTGCCAACACTTCTTGGTTTTGCGTGATCCCTTCCCCCTAAGCTTTTTGAGAATTTGTGGTGGGCTTCTCTGGCCATTCAGATAAAAGGGCCTTATCCATGACTGGACAGGTTTCCCCATAGGGACCATTACACATATACATATAAGTACATACTTCCATCAGGCTTGTAACAGTTGATTTAAAAAACCACTCCACAGTATTGGTAAATAGCTCTATATTTTCAAGGTGCAGAAGAATTCCACAGCCTTAATTATTTCAGTGTCTTGCTGGTCTGCCTTAAGTGTATTTTCCGGGGGTTTTGGGTTTTGGCTGTTTTATTATTTTAACTTCTCCTGCAGTTGTTCATTTTGTACGCACACGATGTTGTTTTGTAAAGGTAGGTTGTAAATATTTTATTTGTAAGTCAGAATCACTCATGTGTAATGTTGTAAAGTGCCGACCTGGTGTCTTGATATTACTGCTGCAGTAAACGTTATAAGTTGTGGATGAAACTTCAAAAATGTACATTTCACATGTTATGCATTCCTATAAATATAATATACTGACGATACTATTTTTAGTCGC